AAAAAAAAAAAACAAAAATCACAAAATAACGATTAAAAGCTGATTTAAATTATTTTACTCATAACGATTACCGTCCCTGGTTTTTGTACACTAAGTGCAAGTTTAAAGTAGCTCCGACTTACCGTTGATTTTTGGCCATTTATTTGTTGCCGATTTTTTTTATATGGTGAAAATGAGCAGCACCTTCAACAAAAAAAAAATCCAAAAAATCAAGGGTAAGTTCGAGCTACTTTACACTTGCACTTTATTATAGTAAAATTGAATCGGCTAAAAAAACTGCCTACCCAAAATATTTTTTAAGAAATGTAATTAAAAAGCTCGAAATTTTTACGAAAGCTTCTTCATTTTTTTACGAAAATTTAAACTTGTATTTATAAGGGGTTTTGTTAAAGTATAAACAATAATTTGTTTTTGTTATAACAACTATATTCAACAATTTATATTGAGCTCGATGCCGTTTTTTAAATGAAAATTTATTGTGGAAAAGCAACAATAATTTGAAAAAAACTGCTCTAGTTTGGCTTGCCGTGTCATACATAAATGTCCAGCAAGGTTTCGCTGCAACGTCTTACTATAAAAAACTCTCCTCGTATATTATTTACATAGGTATGTATGTATGTAAATTAGACTGCAGCACCAAAAAAAGTTGCGGCTTTCCGCCGGGATTAAAAAATTTATTATAATTGAAAACTTTCACCAAAATATTTCGGAAAAGTATGTGTTAAGATTTACGTGAGCAGAACCGATTTGAAAATATTCTCAAAAATTTAGTTTTTTGTGAATAAAAATAGTCTCTTAAAGTACTTTTTGAAAAAAAAAAAAATCCCCTCAGATGACAAAAAAACAGTTTTAGCTTAAAAAAAACAGTACCGATTATTTTTGTATGGGGAGTGATGTAGCCTAATGTATATATAGAACAAATATTAATTATGTACATATATTTTACATACATATAAACTTGTTTTAGTTCTTAGTTTCTTATTATTATTGCATGGCGCTTACTTCTTGCACTACATATCCGCTATGGATTCTGGCACGCGCCGCATAGTCGACTAGATTACGTTTTTACTTAATCGAAGCTTACAGTTATCTAAAGCACGATATATATTTCAATTCACTTACTAGTCGTATTCAATTTATCAATTAAATGTTAACACATTCACTCAAGACTGGGTTCAAAAACGAGCAGCGAGCTGAAAATAAAAACAAACGGGAAAAGAGAAAAATGTGTTATGGCCAGCTTGAAACCAATCTAATACGAACGTATGTACTGTACATATATATGTATATTCTAAAACGAGTACGAATTTTACTAATTTTTCTTTATTTGCCAATAATTGCTATCGCTTCGATTCATTTGCGGAGAATTGCTGTGCTCTTCAATTTAACAGAAACGGAAGAGCATTTTGCAATACTTGATGAGCCCCATCCAGGTAAAAACCTTGCAAACGTGTAAAGGTTTTCTTTTTACTCTAAATACTTGAACTCTTAATCAGGAAGTAACCAAACAAAAGGAAAGAAAGGGAAGGAAATAAAGCCGTGTAAATAAGACCATACAAATAAAACAATCAACTACCAACCCAACAAAGTCCAAATCGTCGTTTAAAGTACATAACCGCGTATCACTAAAATGCTAAACCAAAATGGTTCTTTTTTGTAAAGGCAACCGCATTTCTGGCTAGTATAATTCAGGACGAATGGATAAGGATTGAGCCAAGAGCTTGTGTGAGCAAATCCATTTTTTGGCAGCAAATGTCAGTTACGCGGTTTTGCAGGATGACGATACGCGGTTTTGTACTTTAAACGACAAAATAATTATTTGATGACGTCATAACTAAGTTATTTAAAATATTTAAGTATGTAGATACATATATTCATACGTGCATGAATAAGCAAATAAGTATGGTACACTTTTGGATAAAGGTTCATATTGATTAAGTGCTTACCCACAGCTCATGGAACATGAACCCGTAAATATTGTAAAAAAATATCAAATTGCGCACAAAATGTGAGATAAACAGCCAAATCAGATTGAACACGAAAAGGGAAAAGGTCAGGAATGTCCGACGTGTGGCGATGTGAAAACACAAATACACTCGCTTCCAACAACAATTCAAATACACTCAGCCATCGAACGAAAAAATGTCTTTATTGTTTTTATTGTCGACACATTCCTGGCATATTTGAACCACTGAGTCACACGATACTAAAGTGGTTACGAATGATGCAGACAAAGACAAAGACAAAGACAAAGACGAGACGAAGGCGAAGATAGTGGCGATGGTAAAGAATATTCACATATTTCAGGCCACTAATATCTCAGGCAATTAGTGTTAGTTATCGGCAACAACAACAACACTAACTGTTTAAAGAATTTGTTCGTTACGCATAGGCCGAGATCGGCTTAGTCAGGCGCTAAATGCCAGTAGGGCAATTAAAGAGGCGCAGTAAGTTTTGAGATTGAGAGAACGAGGAGCACAAAGAAAATCCGGTAAGTTGGTCAGCTCTCAGCGCTTACCTGATTTAATGCCGAGATGTAGATAACATCAACGATTAAATTTGATGAAAGGATGGCTTGGAATGTAGCAGAGAGCTCATCATTTTACTGGTTTGTTGTAGGTTTCAGTTGTGTGCATAGTGAGAGCATACTTGAGTCAGGAAATTTACGTGGAATATTAAGCAAATAATGGTCGACAGGGTTTGGAGAGGTAGGTACATATGCATGCATTTTCCGCAGGTGACTATCCAATCACTTCTTGGTTATGCTTCCAGATTAATTCTTTGTAAGAAAGAGGTGAAAAGCTACTTCATGGATCCTATTGATTTTCTTATCAAGGAAAATGTTTCCCGTAGTCCGCAAGGTTAATGTCTTTGGAGAGAACCTATGTGTGCATGGATTTTAACAAGGTCCATTGCTGTGTTAGCTAATGGCAAGAGGAAGGAGTAAAACGTCTAGGCATAACGCCGGATAAGAAACACATCTGGGAGTCACATCTCAAATATATTAGGTGACCTTGTCGGAGACCTTGAAATCTTGATGTGAAAGGAGGCAACCATGGCCAAACTCCTGTTCTCAGACCAAATTGGTGCCATCCTCAGCTTTACGAAGAGGTACAAGATCATATTTCCCACTCGTGAAGATTGGAGCAGAAACCCCATGTGGCGGCACGATGATTCACAAAAATAGTATATCGATAGTTCAAAACACCGTACGGTGTAAGTGCGGATGTTGTGGTAGCGCGATTCCGCACATTTTTCCCCTTAAGTAAAGACGCAACGTCATTCCAGGCGTGACTATCTGCCATACGGAGACCGCCTACGTAAACAGGCAATGTGCCAGAACAAAAATCTCCACACATTCTGAGAGCCAATCTGTCCTCAAAGCTCTAGATAGCTACTCGTTCTCATCAAAAACGCTTATAGATTATAGAGTGCCATAGAGCACTTAATGGTCTAGCAAATTAAGATCTCCTCCATCTGGGTGTCTGGTCATGGGAGCTATGATGGCATGAAAAATCAGATTTCAAGCTAAAAAAAGGACATAAACTAAACCGAAAAACACTGTGTGGAGCACTAAAAGGCTTGGTCTCTGTAGTACAGACATTTTCAGGTTCTGTGGGGAAGAAGAGGAATCAATGGAACACCTCATTACCACCTGCCCAACACTAGCTCACCGCAGAGCCAGATTTTTAATAGGGGGCACAATAGATCAAATCTGGTCGCGGTGAAATCGGCTTGAAGACCTACCCTTACGTTGCCATAACTATAAGATCCCTAGATATTTAGTTTGGGCCTAAATAACGTATATATGCACACTTACGTTATTTAGGCCAAAATGAAATAACATGCAACTATTTCCCCCCTTATGTCCTGGGACATCCTAATGTACATGTGCTCCCCGCTTCGAGCGAATTTTGTCAACCGCAATCCTCAGGGCGCTGGCAGAGCAGTCTCCAGAAGTAATAAAAAAGTGTATAACCATACAGTAAAAGAAAGCAAAACTATGACTAGCATATATATAAAACAGTCTGCTTGTTGATTTTCTGTTGCCAAGCCGACGCGTTCAACCCATTTACTGCTTCTAACAATCTCTTTTCAACCAACATTTTTCGCCAAACAACTATCAAAATGCACTCAGAAAAGCGCGCGCGCCTTGCAGCAACAGTGGTGGCGAACAAATGATGACCGGCTTAATTGGTTGTAAGCGCTGTTCGACGTCGTGGTTGCGAGTTGCGACTATTGCAGGGCAAATAAGCAGAGTGCCGAGCGCAGCTCAAATGCCGGCAAGAGCGCGAACGTAATTGATCTGTTGAAGCGGCATCCTAACGCGTTGGGCGGCTAAGAGAGTTCGGTTTAGTTTGCTGGCTATGTAGTGTCTTTACATCGTTTAGCTTGGCTTTGTGGTTTGCGTTTTCGGGCCTGTTGTTGCTACAGTTGTTGTTGTTGTTGTGGCTATGGTTGCGTTGCATTTATTTTTTGCTGTTGTTTTTAGTACTTTTGTTGTATTTTTTATTTATATTTTTTTTCGTGCGCAACGAACCTGCGCGCGCTGAGACATTGAGACTTGAACTTGTCAACCGCGCGTGGCTTAACTTCCCTTGTTGCTGTTGCAGTTGTTGTAAGCAACCGCAGCCTGACGGTTTAATCTCTCCATATATAAACTTTAAGTACTGGTACTTATGTAGCTATGGACGCTTGTAGCACTTTGATCGACACCCAGCTGAGTAGAGCTCAGCTCACAGCCAATTTGCTTAGCTTAGTTTTGCGTTCGGTGGCTTACGCGCTCGCTCGACGCGGCACAGGTGCGCGGTGCTGTTTGTTTGGCGCTCAGCCCCGCCGATTGCTGGTTTGTTGGGCACCCTATGTGTACGTTTGTATGGTTGAATGTATGTATGTGTGTGGGCGACTGTATGCAAGAGTTTAGTTGCTGGCGAACATGCTCGCGCGTTCGCTTACCTTTATTCGTTGGCGTTTCAAAGTTAGTTTGTTGCGAGGTTTCAAGCGTTTAAGTTTAGCCGTCTTTGGTGTTGTCGCACTCGAGGTGAACATCGGCAATAAAAAATAAATAAATTAAAATTTACTGAACAGCGCCTGCGGTTGCTCTTTAAAAGAAAACTATTTCATATGCTAAGAGTAGGAAAATCTATCAGATGAAAGTGTCCAAAACGAAAAGATTAAATAAAATTATTATTAAAATTTGATTTTGTTAAAAAAAAACTAACATACGAATATCTAATAGTTGACAACAAAGAGTTGAAAAAAGTATGTAAAAGAGGGGAAGCGGAACATCCATAATTTCCCAAACTGGTGAAGTGGTTCGCTAAAAATTCAGCACTGAATTTCTAAAAAAAAAAGTGGTTTAAAAACTTGGAAAAGTTAATACAAAACACTTCGAATAGTTGAACTAAATTTATACTTTTAAATGAAAACGTTCAACTATTAACAGAACAGAAAGAAATAAAAAAAAGTTGGCGAAGATTGGAGAATTGTATTTTAAAAACAAGTTTATTACGGGAAGTAAAGCTTAAAAATAGCTCGACAAAAATATTAGTACAATTCCTAATCGAAAACATAAAATTATAAACATTTTTTAAACACCGCGATCGTTTTTGAAATACCGGGTTTGGGGGGAAAAATAAGTTAATTTAATTCAGAAGATCTAGAATTATTGACGTAACGAAATTCAGGCATTTCCACAGAAAAAAATTTAAATAGCGAAGTGCAATAAGTTAAAAATAATCCAGCAAGAATACCAGCAACTTGAAATACTCATCACGAAAACACTTAACAAAAAAAATTTAAATACTAATTCAGCGAAAAATTTCAAATAAAAAAAAAACATAAGTTAACTTACCAACTGTAGGTGAAAAAAAAAGAAAAAAAAAGAAAAGTGCATATATAGTTATTCCAAATAAATAGTTCAGTGTTCGTCAAGATAAAGCAAATATTTAAAAAAAAATTATATTTCCACTTGCACTCTTCATCGAGCGTTAATTCGAAAGAAAGCGAAAAGACCTCATTATTTTTTTGTCTAATTGCAAAAACGTGCAAACTGATGTAACATAAAATGTCTTACAACTCAATTTTGCATAACAAATATTAAATGTGGCGACGCGAAAATTTTAAAACGAGATTGTGCAAAATTTAAATGTTTTTATTTTCTTTCCGTTTGCAATAGCCGAGTAAAAAATTGCTGACCGTTAACTGGAGTGAACAAAAAAAGAAGCAGAACCTACTAAAAAAAGGTAAAAGATACATTCACCAAGTTTAGGAATCGAAAATCTTCGCCAGAGTTGTTTTCGTTCTCGGCATGATTATTTATATCATTTAATATAAAAACCATATCAAACATTGTTGGTCCTTTACATTTATAAAAACATCTTCAAAGTAAAGAGTAATTGATTTAATTATGTATTAGTTGCTTTTTAATGGTAGTATATTCCTAATGGCTTTTCAACAAAGCTGGAGTTTGAAGTAATAATTTATATTTCATAAGATGGAACTGTTGAACTACTTATTTTCAAAAGGGTTCATTGGATTCAGGTTCCATTTAATGTTTATGTTATTCACTAGTGTTGGAAAGTATCAAGTACTTTTGAGGACCGAGTTCCTTGGCATCGATACGTTTAAGGATCGGGTATTTTTCAGAGTACTGAGTACTTTCTTTAAATATATACATCAAGCCGGCAGGACTATATTTATTTCAATTAATATATTAATCACAAATGCCTAAATATAATGGGTACAAGGATTGTATTTACTTTAAAATTATTGAAACTTAAAATTGAGTACACAATCATTTTAGTAGGAGATCCGACAAAGGCACGACCTTCACCCATCTGTTTAATGGATGAAATTTTTTCTATGAAATTTTACGTGTTAATAAATGTTTTGCGAGTGGGTTGGCTGAAGAAATCCTGGCCAGGATGTTTTTAATTAATTAACCAAAAATTATTATTTTTTTTTAATTTTGCACTCATTTGTTTATTGAACAAATTCCATATATACCAATCGAAAGCATACAGTACAGTACTTTGTAGTCCCTTTAAGTTCTGAGTACTTTCGAGCTCTTTTGTGAGTACTGAGTACTTTGGAGTAAAATTTTCACACATCAACGAAGTAACGGCAACCAACAGACCAAGAAATTGAATAATGGAGCAGGCAGCCTTCGCACAAATATTGTAATAACAAAAAACAAAAATAAAAAAAAACGTAACACCTGAACTGACTGACGATGGTGTTGATGTGAGTTACTGGTGCTGTTTCTCTAGCAACAACTATGGAAGAATATAAACAGCAACAACAACAACAACAACAATACCATCGATGACTGTTGCCAACGGAAGCACGCTACTGGCTTTTGTTTTTGGCTAAGCAATTGCATGGCCAAATGCTAAAAGTGAGTGAATGAAAAAAGCGTGAGAAGCGATAAAAAAATAGTAGTTGGCAAAAAGGGTAAAAGGTAAAAAAAAAAATCACACACAAGCGCATTAAACGAACAAAGCGAGAAAAAGTGCTGCGGCACGGTGTGGATGGAAAAGTTGAGTTTTCATTTGCGCTGCCACTGTGCTATTATATTTGCTACTACCAAACAACAAGCAAATAAACGCAATTCGCATGGAATATTACCTTGGCGCTTTTTCATAATTTTTTGGCTACGAACCAACTGGCTAAAACAAAAATTATTGGATTAAAAAATTTTTTTTTTCGTATGTTTCGCTTTTGCATTTCGTGCATTCATTAAATGTGCGGTCGGACGCAGTCGAACGCGTTAACATCAGGGACTTTTCTGGTTGGAAAATGAATGCCGGCATGGTGCTGGTTATTATTACAAATGCACATACATACATACCTGCATACGTACATAAAGATATATATTTATAAATGCATACATACATTTATATTTATAAATGTGTACATAACTTTTTCGTTACAATTATTAGATATTATTTCAGCTATAAGTTTGGTTTTGTTATTGCTGGCGAAAGGCGGAAATATTTGCTTTCAATCATTGAGTCTGTTGAAAATGTAAAAAATATGTAACTGTGTTAAGTGCAAAAACTGCCTCCAAAATTGAAATAGGTAATTTTTTTTTAATGTACTTACAATTTTTTATGAGCAATAAGTCATGGGATCAAATTTAACACTGCATTTTTCATTTCATTGTTAAATACTGCTGGTTGAATAAAGGCATAAGCGTTCATAATCGATTAAGTGATTCGTTTCGAAATTAAAATTATCTAAACCAAAATTATTTGTGAAACATTAACGAAAGGATCTAATTCTCAAAATTCTCTCATCATCTCATCTAATCGAATATCGAAAGTGAAATATTTATGTATGTACATTAGACTGCATCACTCCCCATACAAAAAAAAATCGGTACTGTTTTTCCATTGGAACTATAAAATCTATTAACTAAAATATTTCGAAAAACTATTAAGATCTAAGTGAGCTGGACCGATTTGAAAATACCTCCAAAGATGGAGTTTTTTATGAATAAAAATAGTTTATTAAAGTTTTTTTGAAAAAAAACCCTCAAATAACAAAACCGGTTTAAGCTTAAAAAATTTGCGTAAAAATATTTTTAAAAAATTAAAAAAAAAAGTTTAACGGAATCGTAATAATGAGATTTTTGATGCTGTTTTTTAACTTTTTTCAAAGATTGGTATAAGAAAAACTTGAATAGCTGAGCCTAAACTCTCCAGATTTAGACTTGAGAGATATCATTGGAAAGGTATTTTCTCACCCTTTTTATTTCTTTGCTAATAAACTCATTCAAAGGATGAAAAAAAAAGGTAGGATGAACGAATATCATTCAAAGTTGAATTAAGATGTGTTGGTATTTGAAAAAGTATATATTGGGACACGAATGACTTTTTTGCACATAAATAAAAATAGTGGGAAAATACCTTTCTACCGAGATCCCATAAGTCTAAATCAGAATAGTTTTAGGTCAGTTATTTAAGTTTTTCGTAAATCAATCTTTGAAAAAAGTAAAAAACAGCATCAAAAATCTTATTATTACGATTCCGTTGAAAAGAGTTTTAAATATTCTTATGCAGAATTTTTAAGCCTAATTTGTTTTGTCATCTGAGGGGAGTTTTTAAAAAAAAATCTTTCAGAAACTATTTTTATTCATAAAAAACTCCATTTTTGGAGGTACTTTCAAATCGGTCCAGCTCGCTTAAATCTCAATATTTTTCCGAAATATTTTGGTGGACGTCTTAAAATATAAAAAATTTTGAAATCCCGGCGGAAAAACCGCAACTTTTTTTGGTGATGCAGTCTAATGTACATACATATGTACATTTGCATTTAAATCTTATTTATGTAGTCTTATGGATCCAGCATAGCGTAATATTGCCCGAAATGGTGCTTTCGTAAATTTGATGTTGTTCTGTTTATTTTACTATGTACATCCAAACTGCCGCTCCAATTTACACACCTAATCAATAATGGTAACGATAGCAATGATGACACAAAAAGTATTATTTTTGTAAACAAAATAACATCAAGTCTATCAAAACGCAAGCAAATAAATAGATGTACAAGGAAAATAAAACCACTAAGGAAGAGGGTTAAAAATTATTATGAAATTGCTGAAGTCATGAAGAAAATTAGTTGTAATAAGTACATACATAGTTATGTAATATATACTAGGGTCGTAATTTTAACGCTCTCACCCCTTAGGATTGTTCTATATCAAAAAAATATGCCCCTATAATTATTTTGAAGTCTAAAAGTATTTAGGGGTCGCTCAAAGCGCTCAAAGTTTTCCATGTATTTTATATGGAACAAAACCACTTTTCGTAGAAATAGTATAGACTTCTTGAAAATCAATATCTGTCGATCGGAAAACTCTGTTTTATTGAAACATTTTTTCATAGTAACTATATTTTATAGGTCCGCCAAAACCCCCAGAAAATGCAATCGGGGATTAATAAAAAAATATTTAGTATTAAAAAAAGTAGTTTTTTCACATATAACTTTGAGAAATCTCTAAATATTTTTTGATATCAAAATAAAAAATAGGAGTATATTTTTTTCGGTCCTAGGGGGTGAGAGCAAAGAAATCCGACTTCACTATTTCACATACATTCTTCGACCACCCTAACTCATATAGAACTTCAATGGCTCACGGCCATCCTGAAATCAAGCGTCGCCAACGCTGGTGTTGGAGGCGTCGAAATTTAAACTATTGCTCCATGAAATCCGGTACTAACTTGAAGTTATTGAGCTAGCATCGCCCCCTTCATGTATCGCCTGTGGATCTCAGATTAATCAGTCTAGTTTATTCTAACAATTATCCTTGTTTAATTGAGGGATTTTCCTAAATCCTTTCGGTTCTTTATTGTACAACAAACACTTAAAAATACTTGTTTATGCAATAACAACAATTAACTATGCTTGTTAAGGCAATTAAAACACTTTACAAAACTTGATAAGTGGTCGCTGTTTTACAACTTGACTTGTAGCTTTCTGATTCGCAACAGACCTGCAACTCTGCTCATCGCTCATTCTCGCGCTGTTTGCAGTATTCATCCACTTGACGTTTCTCACTGTCGAATATTCCACGTCATTGCTCGAACATTCTGCCATTTTCTTGCTATTCGCTTCGCGTTGCTGCAGTATTCGCCACATTATTTTAAAAGGCTGCACATTAGAAACACCATTAGAAACAAGGCACTTGGCTTTAAAACACAGATGTATCCAGAGGTATTGATGTCCAGGGGCATTCATATAACGTCCTTGAGGAAAAACCGCGTAACTGACATTTTTTACCAAAAATTGGATTTGCTTACACAAGCCCTTGGCTCAATCCTTATCCATTCGTCCTTAAACATACTTGCCAGAAATGCGGTTTCTTTATGAAAAAGAGAAACATTTTGAAATATGAGTGTTTTTACTCTCTAGTAAATAATTTCCCTCAGGGGTGGTTTTATTGGCTATGACTATGACTATGTAACCGTAAAATCTTGATGGTCCCTTGGATTATGCGCGATGGAGATCCCTCTGTCTTACAGTGCAAAAAGTTCATACACCTTTCGTGAAAAAAATTTTTTTTATTAAAAATTGTCCAACAAATAGCAACTTTATTGAATAATTCTATTACTGTGTACTTTACTTACACACATACACTAAACAAATATCGCTTGCCGTACACGTCAGTGTCAGGAGCTCGCGCGCGCAGCCAAACGCAAGACAACAAGCGTGTTAATTTGTTATTCTTGGCTTATTATTGAATGACCATCGCTGTTACTGTGGTGGGGCTGCCACCAACGCCAACACCAATGGCATTAAGCCACGAGCTAAGAGCCAACAACAATTATCTATAACTTTAACCGCACACATACATGCATACATGCACCCCGTGTACACAGATATTTATTTAGTTTTAACAAAAAATTAGATATAATGTGGCGAAATGAATTGTGGCTCACACAATAGCCAACCACTTGACCACTTGGCACTTCATTGTCTACTCGTGCCGCTCCATTAATAACCTCTGCCGGCACCGTGCCGCACATTTTGGACTCTCTTCCCTCCATATTTCATTGGCTTGACTTGGTGTTTGTTGGCCAAAAGCGTTTGCGCCAGTTCACTAGCATTGTAAATGTCCAACCATGTCTGTTGTTCGTCTGTCTCCATAGGTGGGCGCTTGTTTCCTATGAGTCAAGCATTTGGACCTTTGTTTTGGTCATTGTCATTTTGTGAGTTTGCTAATTTTTTTTCGCTTCCATTTTTTTTCTCATATAGAAAAAAAAGCGTTGGGTAATTCTTTCTCGCTTTAATGTCATTAGCTTCCACATATAAGAAGCATGTTAGCTTTGCTACCTTCGGTTTGCCGTTCTACCACTTGTTTTTCTCCTCTGCCATATTTTTTTTGTTCGCCAAATTTAGTGCTTGTGCAGTGCGGTTTATTAGCCTCGGCCTTCTATACATATTTCTTATGAAATAATACTTTCTGAGAAGCAATTTATATTTACATACTTTGTTCCATTCTTCAGCAACGATGTATCATTTGTCATTTTTATAATATTGCGAAATCGTTGGAATGACTTAAGAACTGCAGAACATCTGGTTGGCCATTTTTCGCGATCATTTGATAATTTTCTTTCAACAGTAGAGTCTCTAATGAGTAATGCTATAGCCTCTAGCTAAAATTTAGTCTTTGTTTTGAACATTTTTGAATTACGCATTTTAAAATTTTGTGGCTGTTCGAGTTTTTAAGAAGCAATTAGTTTTGGAGGTGTTTCGTCGACATGCCTAAACGGTACGTGTGTCTCTTAGGGCCGTTTTCTCATCTAACCTTTAGTTTACCGGCCACTTTATCGTCTCGATATACGAGTTTTCGTTTTCTCATCAGCGCATTAATTTCTCGAATCGATAAACTGTTGCTCACCCGATGCAACCTTTAAAATTTGTACCCAACTTTAAATTTTGGTTTGGTTTTGGTTCATGAGTCAGATATATTAGATATTTCAACCAAGGTTTTGGTTTTTGCTAACAGTTGCTCCTGCTCTATATTTGCTTATGTTGCGTTGCCAACCTTTGAAATTTTATGACGAATGTAGTGAAGTTTCACTCTCGGAAATGTAGTGAAGTTTCACTATACGGAATAACAAATTTATTTTTACCGGCAAGGTAAGAGAACGAAAACACTTTAAAGTGAGGAACAATTTATCTGCCCTGTTAGTAAAGGCAACTTTACTGCTTACATTAGAAAACGGCCCTTAGTTAGTTAGGCTAGGAGAGTAGATCTCGATGACGCAGTAACCGTGCTGAGCTCGTGAGCCTTACCTTACCAATCTCTGAATCTAAATCTGTAGTTGTACCAGACGCAAGTAGTCGTATGAAAGCAAGGTAAAAATTTACTTGCATAAAAAAAAATTACTATAATATTATGTGTAGGTATTCATCTAAACGAGTAAACGGCTCGTAACCGAGCATGGTAACCTCGTAAGCCTCATAACTGAACTGATTTTTCATACAAAATTAAGTCAGTTTACGAGACTTACGTCGTTACGCAGCATTTTCGGGCTCAAAGGAATTGTCCTATTGTTTCCATATGAAAATTGTATGACTTTCTCACTTTGTAAAGTTTGATGAAACGCGAGTGCTTGTCTATTCAGAATCTGGCTGAAGAACGGCCCATTTCAGAATTCGGTTCAAAAACGCCTATCTAATATGCCGAGATATGTCGATCTTCCGCTCAGCCGTCGATATAAGGATCCATGTTTACACTTATACCGACTTATAGTTATGTACTTCTGATCGTTCATTACCCGCCTTATACATTTCCCATTTAGCCAACACTGCCAATCACACTTTAACGCTCAATTTCATTCATTGTAATTTTTTGTCATACTTCGTTTTATTAATTTATTTTCATTTATTTGAATGAACTGTTTCTATTTCTTACAATTTTGGTTTTTACTTCGATCAAAAAAACAAAAAAACACCAAGAAAAGAAATCAATTTCTTGATACGCGAAACACAAAGTAAAGCTAGCTAGTTAATCTACGCAACTGTGAAGGAGAAATATTAAAAACGCAAGTGAGTACGCACGAGTATTACCTCAACGCACGCGCGTGTACTTCGTTTAAAATATGTACATACATACATACGAATATAAGATACGACTTGCATGCGCAATGAACTAGTATGCTGTCAACAACTTATGTACGTACATAGAGACTCGTACTAGTGCCATATTAACATTTACCAGCCAACTATGAATGAATATAGTTAAAGCATAAATAACTACGAACGCATTCGTTGAAGTATGCAGAAAAATTGAAAACAAAAAAATATATAAAAACGCAAAAAAATCGTAATAAAAGTGGAGGAAAATATTCAAGAAAATTTTGTATCTATACAAAAATGCGTGAAATGTTCAATCAACTACGTTGATGTTGCTTTTAGTTTGGTGCACGGCATAGAACTTGAAGAATAACTTGCGATTAACGAATTTTTTTTTTTTCTTATTTTGTTATGCATCTGTTGAGCTGGATTATCGCAGATTTTTGCATTTAACACAAAACGGAAGCAAAACAAATTGCATTATCTTGAGAAAATATGATAATATCGATAACAATAGCTACATTCTAGAATTTCAATCGATAACCATATAAATAGAAATATCGAAAACAATGAAGGTATCGGTAAAAACGCCCCTAGTGATTTCGATAAAAGTCAAAATAATAACATCGATACTTTTATTGATGATAAATATTTGCGATCGTATCGAAAAAGTTACCAAGAACGAGATAGGGCGTTATTCAACCAACTTCTGAGATAGGGTATTTTTCGTTCCCACGACAGTCGGGTCTACGTAACCGGAACGACCCAGATTTATATTTGGCCAAGGACTGTCACTCCAGCAACACTCCCCAAAAACTCGTTGGGGAACTTGTATGCTGCTTCAACAACAACAACAACAACATAGGGTGTTTTTCAATAAAATTCTAAAATAGGGCGTTCCTGAAACGTTTTCGAACTGGCTGGCGAGATAGGTCGATCTTCGACTCGGGTGACGATATGAAGAAAGTTTATTTACATTTATGAACGAATGAATCTCCATCCTGCCTGGTTATCTGGCTAAAAATTATTTTTCTTAAGTGTATGTATATTGTTTTTGTAAACTGGTTTAAAAGTATAACCACATAACCAGATAGGCTGATAACATGACAGGTATGAATACCACAATTTAATTTTATTTGAGTAACTATAATATTAATATATTTTATTCCCCTCCGCCCCATAGTTTTATCCCACTTTTGTACTATTCTTTACGTTTTTTATTTGTTTTATTGTATTATTTTCTTAATTTAACTATATATTTTTTTGATTAGACATCTTATTATTTACTTAATTTAATGTTTTTATTTTTATTTTGCACTTTATTATTCTGTTATTAACATTACTTTGTTATTTATTTTTTTTAATATTTTTTCTTAATTTATTTTTTTTTACTTATTACTTATTTTTCGATTTTGTTATATTATTTACTTTATTTCATTTTACTTTACTACATATTTACTTAATTTCAGTCATATTTATTTCTATTTTTATTTTAATTTTTATTATATTATACTGCTGTTTTGGTTTTATCTAATTTTTTTATTTTTTTTATGTTTTCATTGCCGTTTTAATAAATTTTTATATTTTATATTTTTACGTAATTAAATATTTTCACCGCTCTTGAAATATTTACTTCATTCTGTGTATTTTATTTTTCTTTATTTTAATTAAAATATTTTAATATTTACCTAATTTTATTCTGTCTAATTTTTTTATTCTATTTTTATTTTGTATTTGGATTTCATTTTCACTTCAACCGCCGCATTTAACTTTTGCTTTTAAAATGTATCTTCGCAATTTTCTGGCATTGAACCACCATCAAGTTGAGATTGGCAATGAAAAGTAACTTCCAAAACAAAAATCGCTGCTCCACCGTAAAATCTAATTAATTAGCGTAACACGCGCACACATACGCATAAACTTGTGCATCTACATGCATATGTATGTATGTGTGTACATCGAACAAGTATAGCTACATGTTGCACGCTCACCTCAGCTCCAGTAATTGCAACTTCAGCTGCCACATCTGCTCCACTTTGTCTCGCTGTTTCGGCAAAAATTGCGTTGCAATGTATAGATGCATATATACATACATACATACATACATATGTACTACACAGATTACAAGTGAAGCCGATTGTTGCTGTTGTTTATATCTTTTATTTTTGTTTTTTTGTGCAAACTACACGCGCCTGCCTCTTAATTACATTAAAACTAAAAGTACAAATACTACCTAAGCCCAGCCAATATTAGCTGCACAAAAGCAAATCCAAACTGCCGTTATTGTTATAAATAACAAAATAGTAAAACCAAAACTAAAAATAAACATTAATACAACATAAAACCGAAAAAAAAAAATGAAAAACAAGGTGCTTGTAAACGTCAGCGTAAATACAACACGATTCACTGCCCCACCGCCAATTAGCTGTAATTTGTTTTTTGTATTTTTGTTGTTTATTGGTTGCAGCTGGAAAAGTCGCCGCTGTGGCTGCCACAAAGTTTAGCTCAATTTAGTGTATTGCACGTTTTTCTTGGGCTACCTTCAATTACTAGCCAATATTCGTCTATTTTTCTATTTTTCGCCACATTTATTTTCAACTTAATTTTTTCTTTTTATTTTCTTTCAGGCAATAACGTCAGCAACTGACTACACACAACGCTCGCTGCTTAACTGCTGACGTCAAAAAGTGCATAAATAAATACTCATACAAATAAAATAAATATTAAATTAACCAAAAGTGTTTTGGTGATTTTCGAGAGGGAGAGAGAGAGCGAAAACAAGCAACGAAGTGGCATATGGTGTTTATCTAAATTTAATTGTGGTTTTTGGAAAGGATACATAGTCGAAGTAATAACAAAAAGCCAATCTTATTTCACGAAATCCTACAAATTATTGGATAAGTTCGAAATTTGAGTCGAAATTCGTGAGAAATTGCAAATTAGCTACAAAAGAAGGTAAGTGATACATTGATATATAATTTCTAAAAGCGAATTTCCGCTGGGTAATAAATTAAAAAACGTCTTATTGGATAAGGTGGGAGGACTAAATAGCTTGAATCCCAATTCCCAAAGTTTCAGAATATTTTGATATGAAAATCCATATAAGACTTAAGTCATCGGTGATATTAATGCTGACCTTGTATAACGCTTGATAGAACAATTTACTATTAAATTCCAAAGTCAGAATTAACATCAATGATGACAGGTAAGTCTCAGATGGGTTCTAACATCACAAAGTTGTTGTTGTGAAAATTTCAGATAGAGGGTATTGAATATAACGTCACTAGACACGAATAGAGGCGCGCTAGGATTTCGACCGGGAAAAAAGGCGCGTAAAAAAAATTACAAAAAAAGGCGCTTAAGAAAAACTTCAGCGAAGAAAGACGCGTAATCATTGATTTATATTTGGCCATGGACTGTCACTTCAGCATCATTCCCCAAATCTCTTTGGGAAATTTACATACTGTTACACCTATATTCAACAAATTTTTATTGAGCTTGAGGCCGTTTTTAATGAAAAACTTATTGTGGAAAAGTAGCAATAATTTGAAAAAATGTTAGAAGTGATAGCTATTTCGGAAATCACCACATTTCCTCATCACACTTCTTTCAGCAGGATTCGAACTGCAGCGTCTAAGAGGGCTCAACAAATTGAATTGGTATGATTCCGTCTGGCCGCGGTACATTGAAGTGCCTGAAAGAGTTAATAGCCCAAAGCCGGCAGTGCTCGTCCAAAATCTCCAAAGTTACTGTCTTCTTGATCCGTTACTTCCCAGTAAAGCATGCCCGGTTCCAGATTACTTTGAATATGGGCGACTGCTGACTGTCCATCTCCAGTTTCTGCCTTCATCCAGCAAGTACGCCAGGCGAGCGTGACTCATAAATAAATGCAGTATGCCTATCTTTCCTAATTTCAAGGTTATAGATTCCAAGTTTTAATCCCTAAACCGGTTGATGAAGGTTTTTTTGTCTCCCCCCTGTTACGGTGTCTTGGTCTCGATTAGTGTCGAAGGCTCTTGAAAATATGGAAATTCCTTAACAAGCTTAAAAGACGACAGGAATGTTTCTTGGTCGGGTCAAACCGACCTTGCCTTAGGTCTCTGGTTCAATATGCATTTGGGCTAAGTGCTTGAATTTTCAAGTAATAAGTTCGTGGCCTACTCAAACCCAGCAATATAAATAGAAACGCCAACACTTAAGCAATTTCAACTTCAATACAATAAAAATGCCTAAAAATCACTTTGTTGTATCGAACAAGTTGCGTTGACCACAAAAATTCAATTAGCGTCAAGGGAATACCACAAACTGAATTTATATTGAATTTTTGCATTTCCGCTTAAAGCATACGACCCAAATATAGACAGCGGCCAGTGTATGGACAGCTGGTAGTTTTCGAGAGAAATAGCTATGGCATTCATGACATCTTCTGTGTCATTGGGGTTTTCGCCAATGGTTAAATCATAAAAACAACAAATAAAAAAGCACATTGGCTGCATTTCTTAGAATTAAGCTTACAGCGGAGCCGATGATGGCGCTGCTGGGTCTTCTCACCACAGTATATATAAAAAAATTTACAAATAAAAAAGCAAAACTTAAAATTTCCAATTAATGAACATTCATACAGGTGCGATAAATATGAATTCGAAGATGCGTGCGTAAATTTACTAAATTCCGGACTTTGCTTAAGTGCCGAAGCGGCGAAAAAAATTGCTGACAATTTAATGAGTCATCTTCAGTACAATGCTTGAAACAAACTTAAATAAATTGCTAAAAATGCAAATAAGCAGTTACGCAGATGCTTAATCCTACGTTTTGTTTAATCCCAGATATTTGTTTGAAATTTCAAAAAACCATTTGAGCTTTGGTGCCACGATAGCCTTGAGCAATATTTGCGCATTTTTAGCTACAGAAATTTTATATTTATTGTATACCTACAGGTACATACATACATATGTACATACATAGGTATAGGAATTAAAGACAAGAATTCCTAAAGAAATTGTAGATCCAAATGGATTTCTCCAAAACGACTTACTTGTGATTTTGTGCAATACTTTTGCTAAACATTTCCGGTTGAAAATTGTTGCAGGCACTGACTGCACTCCACTTTTTGGTCAAATTTGTACTCCTATAATACAAAGACAACAAATAGATTTCAATTTCCGTTCGATAAATGCGCATACGTGTGTGTGTGTGTGTATGTGCCTGACGAATGATTTTGATCACTGGTGAAAAATTTTAGTAAATTCAGTGATACAACAGATTTACTTACTTAAAAATTTTTCGAAAATAGCGGGTTGTCGGGATTAAAATGTCGCGTATGAGTAAGCGAAAAAGTAAAAAAAAAAATCCTATAAAGGGTTAAAAAAATTTGCAAAAACACTGCAACTGAATTTTACAATAAGTGGCGTACATAGGTATCTGAAGACAATAGTAGTATGTACATTAGGGTGGAGCGCACAAATATTAATTTTTCGACTTCGAAATTCTAATAGCGCGCTAAAGTTACGTAATACGATCACACTGAACCCTGTTGGCCATTTTTTTCCATGAGCAAACAATTCCGCTGGCACTATTATTTATCGATAGGAACGGGCTGATCTACACTTGTATAATGTGTTCATATGTAAATCGGTAAGTGTACAAAGTTTATGCCAGCTATAAAGGCGAACGTTTTCAAATTTTAATCAATTACGCAGGACCACAAAAAAATCTATGAAAGTTTAATAAAACCAGACCAGGTGTTTTATATGTTTTTGGGGTCGCTGAGCACGAATCTTAAGTCCGTTTTGCTCCATCGCATCAGAATTTGGTTCTACCCTCAAAACACATTGCGAAAGTTCCCCCTTCGTAGCCAGTGCTGTCGTTTTTTTGTTTGAACATATGATTTCCCAGAAGATAATTTAGGTAGGCCTTCTTAAGTGAAGTTATTCTAAAAGGCCCACCTATGAAAGGCTGTAAAAGTAGTCCCGCAAATACCGCGTATCCCGCATGTGTAATCATTTCTCATTTATGATCCCGCAAAAATGGCGCGTGATCCCGCGTTTGCGGGATTGGATTCCCTAGTTCTGTCCCAGTGGCCACCAGTCTAAGCTGCAACACACGTCACGCTTATCAAACGTTAAGTCAACCACCATCTCTCCAGCTGGTTGCTCTGAGCCATTTATGCGGCTTTGCTGTATTCATTGGAATGTTTCAGTGTTGCTGGAGTGTTTTTTTTTTTGCAATTAGTTTGTCATTTACTGCTATGCATTTATGTAAATTATGTATTAAATTGTAACTCAAAGTTGGCACAGTTTGTAAACACAGAAATTGTTCGGTTTACTTTATTTTCGTTTTAAAGTTCATTAGTTCTTAAATACTTCACTAAGTTTTACGGAAAATTATTACGAAATTTCATTAGTATCTAAAGAAATCCTAAATTTGTTTTGCTTTCTTTCTTTTCTTATTTACTTCTGTTTTTTTTTTTTAAATCTTCAATATTTTCTAAAGATTTTTTTTTAAATAGTATTTTTTTCTCAAAAGTATACTTTTCTAAAAATTTAAATTCTTCTATGTAGTTTTGGTATAAATATTTATTTCTAAAATTGATTATATTAGTTGAGAAATTCTTTGAGACGCATGATACCCTTTCTTCCGAAAGGGTTAAAACATCATCAAAAAAAGAACATAAGTGTTTTAAGCCTGTACTTGTGCAATGCAAATGATCCTCATGAAGACCATGTTCTATTCAGATGCGACTTAAAGTGAGCCCACCATTTGTGTGATCATCATCTAAGCGCGCAATACAAATTGAAGAAGAACGCCGGCCAATATATAAATAAATACTTTTTTATATTGACCGTTTTGATGTGCATACAAATGTAAATGTAAGTAAATTTTTTTTTATTTGTGGCGATATATACATACATACATACTACATTGGCAGTGCCGTGCATTGATCTTTTTCTGCTCAGATTCAAATACTATTCACAGCAGCCAACAATGAATGCCACAGCGCTAAACACAATAAAGTTCGATGTAGATATGTATGTATTTTCTAAAAGTGTCAAACAATTCGCCATTTCTATATGGGTCGTATTTGTATAAAAACATTAACTTGAACTTCA